TCACAGTATATAGAAAAATTCTGTAAAAGCCAATACAACATGGTGTATTTGTGTGCCTGACTTTCAAAAATCACATTCCTATTTCACTTTTTTCAATAGTTGTTGGAGTTGTTTATCAGCAAGGAATGGTTTTCAGTAGGTAAACATGTGCCAATGCTGCCTTTGACAGGGTCTCACTATGTAAACTAATACACCAATGTAGAATTCTGTTTTCTCACCTCTACAATGATCATTTTCAACAAGATTAGTAATCACAAATACATGACTTTGTACCTGGCACCTCATATCCTGGAACTCATCCTCAGGAACCCAGCTATGTCCATTCTAGTTAATGGGATTACATCACTCTTTCCACAGAGCCTAACTGGGGCCTCAGAAAAGTTCTTCACACAGCAATCTGGAAATCTACCAGCAATCTCTGAAATTGGCATGCATCATAAAAGCCATCATTTTGACAAGATCTCCTCTAGAACCACTCACTCCCTTGAACTCTCCTGCATGAAGAATTCCCCACATTTCCTTTATGCCTTATTTATGAAATGCCTGCTGATTGTCAGGCCCTTGGGTTGGTCCTGGAAGACCACCAGCTCCCTGGTCCTCCCAGATCCTCAATCTACCTACAGTCTTTCCTGTGGGTGGTCCCACGCTTCTTATGTGGAACCACTGACTTCTTGGGAACACCAATTCATGCTGAAAGTTATTCTACCTGCTACACAATGACTACATATTATTTTAAACTAGTCATAGAGTGACATGTATTCACAACGTCCTAAATTTCAGAATAGTAACCTAACCATTTAGAAACTTTGGTCATATTCTTCAAGTTGCTGAAAGGGCCTCTGCACTACTTAGGTGTTGGCAAGTTTATTTTGTTCTGAAGGAATAAGCAACTATATCTGGGGAAATATTCCCCATCTTGCTTACAGGAAAACTGAGGCCAGGGCAGTGGCCATCTAAATGACTGAGCAAGTTATTAGTAGAACCAACAGCCAAATCCATCTCCCTCCCAGTTTGTACTAATTCTTCTACGAACACATATTATACATTTCACTGGGTGACTTCTACCAGAGGAAGCACAAGTTCCTAAGAAGTTTTTCAAATATCCATTTTTCAGCACTGATATTTGACCTTATTCTCCTGCAGGCATGGCTGAATGGCTCACAAGTGGAGGGCTTGGCTTTAGACCCCATCCAAAGCTGGGTCTGTCAGGGAACTTCAAGTGAGACTGCCAGTGATGGGTGAGATGGGGAAAGGCTAAATTTTAAATTTCCTACTATTTCTACACAGCTATGATGCTCTGAACTACATAACCCTTTTAGGGAAATGGACTTCTAATGAATGATAAAACACTCTCTAAAAGAAAACCCTTCCACTCACTCTAAAAGTCTTTCTTCTGAAGTAGATGTTTTCTTTCAAAAAGTCGTGTTCTCTTGGTGAGAGGAAGAATACAGAGTTCAGAATAATATAGACTATTTATTTCCCCTCCATACACACACAGCACGTTACCAGTACCTTCTTGTACATGCAGGAGGGGAGATGAATGCTCACTTGGAATGTGGGATGCTAAGGACATACTACCATGTGCCCAGAATGTAAAAGTAATTTACATATGGCTCTTACTCTTCTAACTAACTTTCATTTCCAAGAAATACAAGCATTACCAATCCCCCACCCCTAAAATACACACAGCCCAAACCTCAAAACAAGATTAATTAAATTAAAAAACTTTTGTCATTTCATGCCTGGCCCACATTCTACTTCTACAAAGTCAACAATTCTTTGGTGACAGCCTCTCTAATGACTTCTTGAGTGAAATACGGTAGCAGAGGTTTACATGATTGCTAGAAAGCTTTCTTTTTCTAAATTACATATTTCAGAACAGTTAGGTTTACAGAAAGTTGAACTGACAGCACGAAGTTTCCATATACTCTGCCTTTCTCCTGTTGTTAACATCGCACAATAGTACATTGGTACATTTACGACAACTGATGAATCAACTTTGATATGTTATGATTAACTTAAGTCCATACATTACAGTAGGGTTCACTCTTTCTATTCTACAGTTGTATGTATTTTGACAAGTGCATAATCTTATGTAACTCCCATTACAGTATCATATAGAATAGTTTTACTGTCCTAAAAATCCTCTGTGTTCTGCCTACATACTCCTCACTTTCCTCTAACCCCTGACAATCACTAATCTTTTTACTGTTTCCATAGTTTTGCCTTGTCCAGAATCACATAGCATGGAATCACATAGTATGCAGTATTTTAGATTGGCTTTTTAAACTCAATAATATGCATTTAAGTTTCCTCCATATCTTTTCATGGCTTGATAAGTCTTTTTTATTATTGCTGATTAACGTTCCACTAAGTCTTTTTTATTATCGCTGATTAACGTTCCATTGTATGGATGTGCCACAATTTGTTTACCCATTCAACTACTGAAGAATATCTTGATTAATTCAAAGTTTCAGTGATTATGAAATATCTACTATAAACATTCACAAGCTGGTTTTTGGGTAAACATAAGTCTGCAAACCAGTAAGGTTAATATTAAGAAGCACGATTGCCAGACTTTATTGTAAGACTTTGTTTAGTTTTGTAAGAAGCTGCGAATGTGTATTTCAAAGTGGCTGGAGTATATTGCATTCCCACCAGCAACGAATGAAAGTTTTTATATTTCACCACATTTGGTATTATCAGTATTTTTAACTGTAGCCATTTTAATAGGCATGTACATAATCTCATTATTATCTTAATTACTAAATTTTTAAAGAAAGCATTATCTATTTTTTATAATTTTCTATTAAAATGAAGTTTTAATCCCTATAGTTGGATACCGTTTTTACCCATATCAGTCATTTATATGTTAGTATAATTAACAACAGAGTATGCTTACGTGTGCAAGGAGAAAGTAGGAAATGAGAAATGGGAGAAATTTTTTTTAAAAAAAGAATATCATGAACAAGAAAGGAAATTACTTTTAAGAATAGCTAAAATAACAACTAGTAGTTACAAAGTTTTATTGCATTTATCATGTTAGTTTATCTGTAAAATCTTACAAGAAAAACATATTAACTCAAATTGTGTAGAAGAGGTAACTGTGCATCAGAAATATCCCACAATTGACAGAATTTCACATGGTCTTTATGTAGAGCTGAAAGTGATGCCCAGTTCTCATGAATCAGTCTCTTCCCTCTCTTTTGATGTATTGTGTTTCTTGTATCTCAACATCTTCAGGGGTGAAAATCTCCTTGTTATAATCGGGCATATGGTGTTCTCCAAGCCAGTCTGACAAGATTGAAGGAGAAGAGATCTGTTGGGCCATATTACGGTGCATTTTCGCCATAAGGGATTTTCCCATATCTAATGTCTGCTTCTTGGCGGGGGCAGGGCGGCAGCCATGTTGCGTGCAAGCCGCAAGCTCGCCGCCGCCATTTCATGTGGGCCAAAGCGCACGTACCTAACTACTCCCTTTTCCGGGGTTCTATGACTCTGCACTTTTTTCCCGCCCTACTTTCTCCTGTCCCTCCGCGGCGTGGCCGCCCCTGATTGGGCAGCCGTCCCTTCCTGCTCTCTCTATCTACTTCCGCTTTCTT